ACCCAACTCGGCTTCTCTCTTTTCAGCAATCCCGAAGAACCTCCCTTCCCTGAGCACCAAGAATTCTTTCAAATCTCCTAAATTTAGATTTTTTTTCAAGAGAAGCAAGAAGCTTTTTCAGTCTCCACTTGCAGTGGCATGGCAGGGAGTTGGATATGGATGGTGTTTTAAGATCCCTTCCAACCCAGACTGTTCTGGGATTCAGTGAGACCAGAAAATATAAACACAATCAGGAAGTACTAAACATTTTACAGCCTACAAAAAAATCCCCAAGTTGAAATTGTTCCTACTTGAGAAAAGAGTGTAACTGGCCTTACATCAGATTAAGTTTATGGCAGGAATGAAAAGCTGAAGGATAGGCTGGAAAAAAATGGTGAAATATTTGTGTCCCTTTGATGAGAAGATTTTTGCACATATTCCAAGACCTAACAGGAGGCCCAAGGTCTCCAGAGAGGCAGATTTTAAATCTTTGCAGGTGCCCATTTAATCCCAACTTTGTGATCAGCTCCCAGGTTAACAGAGGGTGACATTCCCTCCTGGAGAGCAGCCCCCAAATGAGCCTTCCTTGGGATCCCACCAGGAGACAATGGAGGTAATTCAGCCACCCCTCAGCTTAGAATGATGGAATTCCAGACTGCTTTGGGTTGGGAGGGATTTAAATCCCATCCTGCCATGGCAGGGACACCTCCCACTGTCCCAGGATGTTCCAGCCTGGCCTTGGGCACTGCCAGGGATCCAGGGGCAGCCACAGCAAATCTGGGAATTCCAGCCCATCTATCCCCACCCTCCCAGCCAGGAATTCCTTCCCAATATCCAACCTAACACAGACCTTTTGTGCTCCAACACTGCTTCCCTTTGCTTTCTTTAGGAATAATTTGAAGGGCTGCTTCTGTTTATAAAACATTTTTAATTTGAGATTTTTAGACCTTGATCCTGCAATTACTTAAATACAAGATCTTGGACAAACATTTCCATTAGCTGCAGGCTGTTATGTAAATATCTGCATGATAAATTTCACACATCACAGCTCTCATGTTTTCCCTTAACAGCTAAAACAGCTGAGGAGCAGATCCCAACCCAAGAGCTCTTCAGGAACAATGAAATTTTGCTTTTATTTAGTGATACAATAATCTTCATGCATGAGTATTAAAAATAAAATAAATTAATAGTTAATGTTGAATAAATGGCATCTAGTAAGAATCTAAAATCCTTTGAGCAATTATTTTGCCAATCTATATTATAAATACATAGAGAGGGACAAGCACACACAGAAAAGAAATATATAATTAACATAAATATATATATTATATATATATGTTAAATATAAAATATATATTATCTATAATGATTACCTATATATAAATTACCTATATATATTACCTATATATAATATTTTCTTTCATTTTCATGACATACAGAAATAATTTATATTGATATAGACATGATAATTTTGTTACATGTATAATTTATATTTTTGTATATATATACACACATATACACACATATATATAAAATTATTTTGATTTCCACAATAGACATAGGAAATCCCATACAAAGACATCATTTTGGATGAGGCTGAACATCCTGGACCTACAGATTGATGTAAAATTAATTTTCTACAAATCTCTATCAGGTCACAGCCACATGGAAGCATTTTCTCCCTGCAGACTCCATTAAACCCTCATTTTGGAATGATGACACAAAAGCTGACAGCTGCAATAATACAAGAGCCTCAGTGAGTCCAATAAAGTTCCAGGAACATCCAATTCTATTCCTTCAGCTGCACAATCCAGGCCTGACAACAGGAACCTTTCACTGAAATATTTAAATGTTTTCCTTGCATATTGATGTCAAAAAAATAGGAAAAATTCTTAAATCCATTGTGCATTCGACAGCAGAAAATCCTTTGAAGCATTTTTAATTCATAAAAATATTGCTGAAAGGAAAAATTCTATCTAAATTCCATTCTAAATTTTTATCCTGAAGCACTGGGTAAGAAAATGAGTTTCCAATTAAATTTGCTTCTAAAATCTAAATAGAATCAGAGAATCCCAGAATAGTTTGGCTTGGAAGGGACCTTAAGGATCATCCATTTCCAATCCCTGCCATGGGACACCTCCCACTAACCCAGGTTGCTCCAAACCCCATCCAACCTGGCCTTGGGCACTTCCAGAGATCCAGGGACAGCAACAAAATCCTTGGCTTCCAACCTGGCACTGCCTAAAATATCCCCAAATTAATTTCAAGTGATTCCAGAGGCAAATCTTTGTTTTCCCAGCCTCCAGTCCTACCTCCACATCCTGCACAGTCCGTGGCTGGGCAATGCACAGTTTGTTCAGCAGCTGCAGGATCAGCTCCTCAATGTAATAGAGAGAATCTTCCTTTGCTGACAGGTTGGGGTGAACCTGCTGCTGGACCTGGCCAAAGGAATTCAAACAATTAGGATTTTATTTTTTTTTTTTCCATGGAAAGCTGTGCCTAAAAACGAATCTCAGCAAAAAGCAGGGTAACTCTGGATTGCAGTGCTGCAAATTTAATTTTTCCTCTGCAGTTAAGGTGATAATTCCTATTCCTGCCAAGTTGGCACCTCTGTTGAATTACAAACTCTGTGTTTTGCCATTATGGTGGGAAGGAATGTCAAGCCAAGGCAGATTTCTGGCAGCACTGGAGTGAAATCATCCCTGTGGGTAACTCTGAGTTACTCATGCCCTGAATGAGTAACTGCAGTGATGTTACCAAGCCTGAGGAGTGACTGATGGAGTCACCACCTGGGTGACTGAACAGAGGAGCAGCACAGACCCACCAGGGAAAAGCAGGAAAAGCTGACTCCCACCTCCCTCCAAGGCAAGGCAGGATAATTCCTTTTATCTCACTCATGGAGATTAATTGGTTTCCCAAACTAAATTAAACCAGACAACCTCAGCATGTGCCCATACAGAAAGGGTTACAATTAACTTATCCTGGGTCAGCAGGGCTCTTTTCCTACTAAAAATCCTCCCAAATCAAAAAAAGCACTCGGGGGTTGGTCTCCACATTCAGTTTTCCCTGGCAGCCTCTGAGTCAGGAAAGCACTCACTCCATCTCAAACTATAGCCAAAAGATTGGTAAGGAATACAATCCAGGGAAATTCCCTCCTCTCCCCATACAAATTCCATGTAAATCACCCCAAAAAAGTCATGTGACATGCTCACATTGCTATTCCCAGGACAAATGGAGTGGTAGTTTTTTGGGACAAGGCAGAAACATCTTTGGGTTGAATTCTGCTGCTCTGAAATACAGGTACAGCCCCTTCCAAAGGCCATGGAGCAGTTCCCAAAAACTGGGGGGCTCTGAGGGCCTCCTCCAAATTAAGGAGAATCCCAGAATGGTTTGGGTTTGAAAGGACCTTAAAGCTCATCCTGTTCCCCTCCTGCCATGGCAGGGACACCTTCCACTGTCCCAGGTTGCTCCAAGTCCTGTCCAGCCTGGCCTTGGTGACTCCCAGGGATCCAGGGGCAGCCACAGCTTCTGTGGGAAACCTCCCCACCCTGAGAGCCAGGAATTCCCAATTTCCAACATCCCATCTAACCCTGCCCTCTCTAAGTTTTTTTGTTATAAAGTTCTTTTATAGCCCTGTGAACATAATTTTACCTTCTGTGCCTCAAACATGAATTTCTGCTTTACCCAACTGACTCCCAGCCACAGATACAAGATCCTGAAAGAAAGAAAATCCTCAAGAAAACCAAACCCACTCCTTAAAAACTCCTACTTAAGACAGCAGGTTTTCAACAATAGCCAGGGCATTTTGTGTTCTTCCTGAACATGAGAGTTTAATTCACAAAACAATGGCAAACCAGGAAGTGCTGGGTTAAGGTCCTGCCACGTGTCCCTCAGAGAGCACCACTACAGCAAGAGCAGGACCCAGCAAGGAAATAAAGTGAAATTCTGTGTCCTTGCAGTGAACCCTTAATGATGCTCCAGAGAACTGACAAGAACAGGAACATTAGGAAGAGGAGGAAGATGAGGAGAAGATGGGAACTCCCATTCCCTGATCAGACTGCAGCTCTTCTCCTCCCTGCAGTCACTCGTTTCAGACTTCACTGCACAAAAAAAATGATTTTATTTGTACCTGAATTCAGTCCCCAGGTCTGAGCAGCTCATGCCATGCTCTGCTCAACTTTCTTGGTGCACGTGGATGTCCAGCATGCCTGAGGAGCACAGAGCCCTCCTTCAGCAGTGACACGGAATCTCAGCTTCATTTTAGGAACACAAATCATGGAATCCTGGAATAGCCTGGCTTGGAACTTCTAACACCATCCTATTCCATCCCTGCCATGGCAGGGACACCTCCCACTGTCCCAGCTGCTCCAGCCTGGCCTTGGGCACTGCCAGGGATCCAGGGGCAGCCACAGCAAATCTGGGAATTCCAGCCCAGCCAGGAATTCCCAATTCCCAATATCCCAATATCCATCCCTGCCCTCTGGCACTGGGAGCATTCCCTGTGTCCTGTCCCTCCATCCCTTGTCCCCAGTCCCTCTCCAGCTCTCCTGGAGCCCCTTTAGGCTTTGGAAGGGGCTCTGAGCTCTCCCTGGATCCTTCCCTTCCAGGATGAAAAATCCCAACTCTCCCAACTTTCCCTCATAACTGTTCCATCCCCCAAATCATCTCTGTGGCTCTCTCTAAGTCCTGGAATAAATTTTTCTTTAAAAGGAGCAAAACCAACAACAAAGCTCGACATCTCTGGGTTGAGACAACTCTCCCCAGAGGATTTAGGATTTCAGCTGCCACTTGAGTCTGCCTGCAGCATCCTGGCAGCTCCCAGAGGTGTTTCTGCATTCCCTGGGTTTCAGAGAAGATGTTTTGACATAAATGCTGAGAAAAAAAAAACCAATTTCGTATCAAGACAGTGTTTTTCAGAGCAAAACAAAAATGCTGGAATAAAAGCTGTGCAACCAGCTGATCAAATCAGATGCCACTGGATCAAGGAGAGAACATTTACCCTTTAACAGTATTCCCTAAATCCTGAGTGAGAGGACTGGAGAAGCAAGGAGGAACTGGGAAAGCACTCAAAGTATGGAAAAAAGCAGGAGGAATTACTGGGGATGTTACTCACAGAAGGGACATTGAGTGATCTCTGCTTCAGACTGAAATATCTGAGCACAATGATATAAACTGCCATGGAATAAACACACCAGAGCTACACAGGCTGGATTTTGTTTGGTAATTGTTTCTTTTAAGGGTCAAAATACCTTTAAAAAACCCCACAGGATGTTGCACTGATCAGTCAGAGCTCTGCTGCAAGAAGCTGAGCAGAAGGGAGCACAGAAAACAGATTTTTTTTTTACTGCTTTACCTCTGAAAAAGCAGAATGTCTGAAGTCATTAAAGAGAGATTAGGATTAGCAGAACTAACTAATTCAGTGTCATTTACACAGGTTTAGTCCAAGCTGTTCCAATGAAAAGAAATTAAATAAAGGTGCAAGAGTGGCATTTAAACTTGGCCTTAAGGCATTTCTGAAGGACATAATTTTATTTTATGTTAAAATTTCTAAACTGCTCCTTCTCTTGCTCCTCAGATTTTCCCTATTCTTCCACCCTTCCAATGTGTATTTGATGAAAATCCTCAAAAGCTTCTCCTCAAAATTCCTTCTCAGTGAGATATTATTAATCCTCAGAGCAAGGAGTCTGTTCAGAGAAGATGAGGATGAAAACTTTTCATGGAGATAAATGGTATTAAAAATAGAAAAAAAACCTGTTATTATTTCTTTTTTTAAAACTAATATAATGGCAGGGTTAATCTTGAAGCACAGGAATTCTGGATCTCAGACTTGGGGAAATCCAGAAATCCAGAGTATAAAAGAAATGATCAAAGGGTTCCATTTGAAATGACATAACCTGAGGGAAAAAAATAAGAGTCAAAACTGCAAGAAACTTCTTTTTAGCCTCTTCTGAGACAAACCAACATCTTGGCTTCAACACCTAAATACATTTTTACTTAATGGATTATTTTGATAGTGAAAACACATCCAGAAAGCTCCAGATGTTCCACAGAGAGCACATGAGCAAAACAAGAGATTTTTCATTAAAAAAAACCAAAAACCCCAAGAACAGAAAATTCCCAAATCCATGACGTGCACATCGAGTCTGCAAGGCAGCACATTCCACCATAAAACCATGGATTCATATTCCTGAAATATTTGATAAAAATATCCCAGTTTTCTACTCATATTCCAAACTATATTTTCAGAAAACACAATTCCATTATTACCTGAGATTTCAGAACGAGAAGTTTCTCGTTTAAAAGTTTGTGTTTTAATTCATTCTTATCTTTTCTCTCCTAAAGATAACCCTGGACCATGAGAAACACAAAACATCTGCTCCAAAAAATTTTGAATCCCTCATCTGGATGATGCTCCAGAGGAAGAAGGGAACCAAATGGAGCAATTTAAAGGCTTCTGTTGCTCTTATTCCCTGATATTCCCAATTTTCAAGCATTATTCTTTAGAAAGAGCCACAAAGATTTAAATACTTGAAGAGAAATCCCCAATAAAAAATGCCAACTGTCAACTTTTTAAAAATAACCACGCTGATTTCTTATTTTATTTGCAGTACAGCAATTTCTGACTGGCTCTTTCTTAAAACAGACTAAAACATGCTGAGAGAGGAACAGCATGAAGCAGTCTTTTAAGTAAAAGAGAATTTTTATCTACATACAGCATTTGGCTTTTTTTTTTACTGCTAAAATCTTGAAGCATGGTTAGCAAAATAAGATTATCTCTCAACTGACTGGACAGGAGTATTAAAAAATCATTTTACACCACTATTTTGGTGTAAATGTAATTTTTTTTTCATCTTTAGCTATTTAAATAATCTTCTCCTACAGTAGATTCTAGTTGAGGGGAAGGGGAATTAAAGCAGGAATGATGGGTGGTACAGACAGGATCTGACTGTGAAACAGCATCAAAGACTGTCCTAAAATCTCCTGGGAAGGCTGCTTGGTGCCCACAGAAAAAAAAAACCACATTAATAATGACACAAATACACACAAATTCTTCTTTCTCCAGTTAATTGTTGTTTCCTTTCATACAGAGTCAAGGAAAAGCTAAAATGTGAGTTTGTTTACATGTACACAAACCATACATACATTTTAATCTTCAAACCTGATGGAAAAGAAAGTGTTTGGATTTTATCCATGCACATAAAATGTTTTGTTTAAATGGAGACAAACCCTGAGGGAGCCCAGCACAGCCTCTGCCCTGTGACAGGGGAGGGGACACCATGGGCAGTGTGGAGGTGGCTGTGCCCTCATCTGAATTCAGCACTCGTGGTGTCAATCTCCCCACTTTGTACATCCCATCCTTCCCAAGGAGAACAGCTCACATTGAATTATTCAAACCTGGAATTGCAATCCCTGAATGGTTTGGGTTGGAAGGGAGCTT